CTGGAAAAAAATGATGCTGAAATTCATATGTGGACACAGGAGACCTCCAATAGCTAAAGCAATCTTGTACAACAAAACCAAAGCTGGAGGCATCACAATACCAGAATTCAGGGCATACTACAGGGCAGTTGTAATCAAAACAGCATGGTACTGGTACAGAAACAGATGGATAGACCAATGGAACAGAATGGAAACACCAGAAATCAATCCAAACATCTACAGCCAACTTATATTTGATCAAGGATCCAAAACCAATCCCTGGAGTAAGGACAGTCTATTCAATAAATGGTGCTGAGAAAACTGGATTTCCACATGCAGAAGCATGAAGCAAGACCCCTACCTTTCACCTTACACAAAAATCCACTCAACATGGATTAAAGACCTAAATCTATGACCCAACACCATCAAATTATTAGAGAACATTGGAAAAACCCTGCAAGATATAGGCACAGGCAAAGACTTCTTGGAAAAGACCCCGGAAGCACAGGCAGTCAAAGCCAAAATTAACATTTGGGATTGCATCAAATGGAGAAGTTTCTGTACTTCAAAAGAAACAGTCAGGAAAGTGAAGAGGCAACTGACAGAATGTGAAAAAATATTTGCAAACTATGCAACAGATAAAGGGTTAATAACCAGAATCTACAAAGAGATCAAGAAACTCCATAACATCAAAACAAACAACCCAGTTAATGATGGGCCAAGGACCTCAAAAGACATTTTTCAAAAGAGGAAATCCAAACATCTAACAGACACATGAAAAAATGTTCAGGATCATGAGCCATCAGGGAAATGCAACTCAAAACCACCATGAGGTTTCACCTCACCCCGGTTAGAATGGCTCACATACAGAAATCTACCAACAACAGATTCTGGAGAGGATGTGGGGAAAAAGGGACACTAACCCACTGTTTGGGATTAAGCCACTATGGAAGTCAGTCTGGAGATCCCTCAGAAACCTGAAGATAACCCTACCATTCAACCCAGCCATCCCACTCCTTGGAATTTACCCAAAGGAAATTAAATTGGCAAACAAAAAAGCTGTCTGCACATTAATGTTTATTGCATCTCAATTCCCAATAGCTAAGACCTGGAACCAACCTAATTACCCATCAACGGTAGACTGGATAAAGAAATTATGGGACATGTACTCTAAAGAATGCTATACAGCAGTCAAAAACAATGAAATCCGGTCATTTGCAACCAAATGAAGGAATCTGGAAAACATCATGCTGAGTGAAATAAGCCAGTCCGAGAAGTGTGGGGAGCAATTCGGACTAGACTAAGTTACTGGAATTAAGACTTATTCTATGCATCTGCTCTCCCACAATATGGTGCTGGGAGAGAAGAAAACAGCTTTTACACAGCTGCCTCCAGTTCAACCAATAAACTGTAGGACTTGCTCCTGATTGGAGAGCAGCATACTCGGCGTGTGGGCAGCCGAGTTAGGATTGGCGGAGGAGGACTATAAAGGAGGAGAGAGACGGCATGCACCAGAAACATCTAAGGGGAACATCTAAGGGGAACACCTGTGCAGCCCCCGAGAGAGCCGGCCGGCGGTGTGCCACTCCCCTGCGGACGTGGGGAATGTGGCCAGGGGGAACTGCCCTTCCACAGAGGTGGAAGGGATAGTAGCCAACCCGGGAAGAACTAGCAGCAAACCCGGGGAGGGCCGAGCAGACAGAAGAACAGCGCAGGGTCCTGTGTCGTTCCTCCACGAAGAGGGGGAGCGACATAATGGTGCCGTGACTCGGATAGCAAACTTAGGAGGGAAGAAATGGGAAGAACTGGGAAAATACCGGAGAGAGAGACTAGCAAACAGCCTAGGGAAAAGCCGGACGAAAAAGGTGCCGGAAGAAGCTATTGAAAGCCTAGGCATAGACTCAGATACGGACTACGGGGGGAAGCTGGGAGAAATCTCTAAGGTCGAAAGCGAAAGTGAAAGCTAGAACAAACAGACTCGGATGCGGACTGTGGGGAGAGGCCAGGAGAAATGAGGGAGGAGTATTGTTGGAGGAAAGCTTGGGGAAACATACCGGGTAGAGAAAAATGTTAGGGAAATTGAAGCCGTGGGGGGCAGGCTGAGGCGGAAACGAAAGCCACTTTGGGATTCTCAAGTTAGCCCGGGAATAGGGGGCGAAAAGTTGAAACCAGAAGCGGAAACGTAAGCCAGATTGGGATCCGTCTGATTAGCCTGGGGAGCAAAGGACGGGAAGCCAAATCGTGGGGCGGAGACGTGAGCTGGGTTGAATTCGCCAGGCTAGCCCGGGGAACTTAGATTGAATGCTAATGGCGGAGACGTGAGCTGACACTGTGTGATTCGCGGAGGCTGCCGCACGCAGAGAGAGCGTGCGGGGCACAAGTAGATAGGGAACGCTGGGCTAAGTGCGAGACTGCGGAGTGTGCGCGCAAAGCCGAGCCGCGCAGATGAGAGAGGCGCGGGCTGAAGCGGCTCAGAGCCGGAAAGCCACCAAGAGGCAGCCTCGGGGCGGCCGCCGGGAAGCTGCAGGGATAAGAGAAACAGAAGTTTAGAAGTAAAATGAGAGAAATAGGAATGTTGGCAGATAGAAGTAAAATGGGAGAAATAGGAATGCCTGGAGATAGAGAAATAGAGAAATAGAAAGGCCTCCCCACAACACTGCAATGTGAGAGCTTGGATTCGGTCTGCCTGATTAAGTGAGGCGATGAGCACCTGCGGGCGGCTAGCAGCTTATGTGCCACAGGTCACCGAAGACAGGCACGAATTAACATCAGTAAGGCCTCCCCACAATACAGCAATTAGGAGGCTTGGATTCGGTCTGCCTGATTAAGGCGGTAAGCACCAGCAGGCGGCTCGACCAGAGTGTGAGCTGCAGGTTACCGAACACAGGCACGCATCAGCGCCTAAAAACCTCCTCACAACATGGCGAAGAGAGGACCCGGATTCGGTTTGCCTGATTGATAGGACTTGTAAGAACCTGTGGCAACTCTACCAAGTAGAGCAGAGTGTGTGCCGCGGGACACTGAAGACAGGCGCGTATCAACGCCAAAAAATAAAAAGAAAGGGGGATCTGTGGGGAGCAATTCGGACTAGACTAAGTTACTGGAATTAAGACTTATTCTATGCATCTGCTCTCCCACAATATGGCGCTGGGAGAGAAGAAAACAGCTTTTACACAGCTGCCTCCAGTTCAACCAATAAACTGTAGGACTTGCTCCTGATTGGAGAGCAGCGTACTCGGCATGTGGGCAGCCGAGTTAGGATTGGCGGAGGAGGACTATAAAGGAGGAGAGAGACGGCATGCACCAGAAACATCTAAGGGGAACATCTAAGGGGAACACCTGTGCAGCCCCCGAGAGAGCCGGCCGGCGGTGTGCCACTCCCCTGCGGACGTGGGGAATGTGGCCAGGGGGAACTGCCCTTCCACAGAGGTGGAAGGGATAGTAGCCAACCCGGGAAGAACTAGCAGCAAACCCGGGGAGGGCCGAGCAGACAGAAGAACAGCGCAGGGTCCTGTGTCGTTCCTCCACGAAGAGGGGGAGCGACAGAGAAGGACAAATATGATATGCTCCACAGGGCTGAAGCCTGTACATTGGCACAGGAGCCCAAAGACTTGGGCCATCTTCTGCTGCTTTCCCAGGCAAATTAGCAGAGAGCCAGGCTGGAAGTGGAACAGCTGGGATTTCACTGGTGCACATATGGGATGCAGGCATCACAGGCAGCAGCCTAAGACTACACTGGCCCTTGAAATAGATTTTCATGCTAGTTGATCCTGAGCTATATGGACACAACTGGTTTTTCATACTTATTAAATTTAGTGTTACTTACTCTGTCCTGAGAATCAGCCCAAACCTTTCCTGGTCTGGCTGAAAAGCCAGTGAGAGCTTTTCTGACATGGAAAGCCAAGACACTGTGGTAAAAAATATGTTCTACAGGAAGGATCTCTGTGAGTGAGACCCCAGCAGAAAGAAGTGGCCACCAAAGAAGGATGTACTTTTCTCTAAAGGGAGAAGAGAACTTCCACTTGCTATGGCTTTGTCTAAATACTGGTGGATTTTGTGCATTCGAAAGCCTTTTATAGCCTAGCAGTTCATGTCAGGAGCCCTGGGTGGTACTGACATCATGTAAGAGTGTTAATTGTAAAATTAACAACACCAGTCACTGTGTATGAACTGCCCATGCAGGACATCTGTCCTCAATGAGTTGTATTTATGCAAGGTAACTGTAAAACTAGTTCTCAGGTTTTTTGTGTGTGTATGCAGATATGTGCACATTGTTGAAATCTTTACTTAGTATAGAGTTGGTCTTCTGGGTTCAAAGTTAGTTAAAAATGGGCCGGCGCCACGGCTTACTAGGCTAATCCTCGGCCTTGTGGCACCAGCACACCGGGTTCTAGTCTCAGTTGGGGCGCCGGATTCTGTCCCGGTTGCCCCTCTTCCTGGCCAGCTCTCTGCTGTGGCCAGGGAGTGCAGTGGAGGATGGCCCAGGTGCTTGGGCCCTGCACCCCATGGGAGACCAGCAAAAGCACCTGGCTCCTGGCTCCTGCCACCGGATCAGCGCGGTGCGCCGGCCCCAGCGCGCTGGCCATGGCGGCCATTGGAGGGTGAACCAACGGCAAAGGAAGACCTTTCTCTCTGTCTCTCTCTCTCACTGTCCACTCTGCCTGTCAAAAAATAAATAAATAAAAAAATAAAATAAAAAAACAAAGTTAGTTAAAAATGAATCTTAATAGAGAGTGGGACTGGGAAGGGGAGAGAAAAGGGGAGGACAGGTGGGAGTATGGGTGGGAGGGTGCGTATGGTGTGAACAACAACTATATTCCTAAAATTGTACTTATGAAATTTGTATTCTTTTACAAACAAATTAAATTATTAATTAAAAATAAATTTAGTGTTACTTATTATACTAAATTTTTAATTCATCCACTACATATAAAATCACTACATATAAAATGAATATGCTTGGATTCTATACAAAAGAAATCCATTAATTATTTTCTTCATTATTTACTATTTTAGTCGGCATGAGTTATTCATACTTTCAATATTTGCTTTCAAACATTTGCTGTAATAGTATCATTGTTCATTGGGGCCAATGAAAAAAGAGTAAATCTTTGACTTCAGCATTCTAACATGCCACTGCAATTAGAATACATAATTAAATGTTGTGATAAATAATTATTCTGTCATTCTTCTCCTATAAAATTGCTCACCTATAAGGTAACTTGATTTCTGCATTTTCATACAAATACCTGAATAATTGGATAGTTGTAAAAGGAACATTTAAACAAAACACTACTGTAACACAAATAGACAAGAAAATGATACAGGATAAACAAGCTAGCATAGTTATTTTAAGAAGAGTAGCACTGGGGCTGGGGCCATGGCTCACTGGTTAATCCTCCGCCTGTGGTGCCAGCATCCCATATGAGCACCAGGTTCTAGTCCTGGTTGCTCCTCTTCCAGTCCAGCTCTCTGCTGTGGCCCAGGAGGGCAGTGGAGGATGGTGCAAGTGCTTAGGTGCCTGCACCCACATGGGAGACCAGGGGAAGCACCTGGCTCTTGGCTTCAGATCAGCGTAGCTCAGGCTGTAGCAGCCATTTGCGGGGGTGAACCAAGAGAAGGAAGACCTTTCTCTCTGTCTCTCTCCTTCTCACTGTGTAAATCTTTATGTCAAAAAAAAAGAAAGAGGAGCAATGCCATTTGTAAAAAGAGACTGAAAGGTGTTGAGGAGCTGTAACATGCTGGTAACCTTTTTTTTTAAGATTTATTTCTTTGAAAGAGTACAAGGAGAGAGGAGAGGCGGGGGGACGGAGGTTCCTTTCACTGGTTCACACCCAAATTGGCTGCAATGGCCAGAGCTGTGCCAATCTGAAATCAGGAGCCAGGAGCTTCATCCGGGTCTCCCTTGTGGGTGCAGGGGCCCAAGGACTTGGGCCATCTTCTACTGCTTTCCCAGGCCACAGCAGACAGCTGGATCAGAAGTGAAGCAGCTGGGATTCAAACCGGCTCCCATATGGGATGCCAGCACTTAAACCATGGATTTAAACGCCTGCGTCATAGAGTCAGCCCCAACTTTTGATTATCTGTTCAGAGATTTGATGAACCAAGAGTCAGAACACTCAGAAGGGTGTTTGGGCTGAGGGAAAGCAATAGTGGCTGTCCTCCCAAAAAGAAGAGATTTTCAGTTTCAGTGGAACACAGCAAAGTTTCCATCACTACTCTTTCTTTCTGATCCTTGAGAGACAGCCAGTAATCGCTGGTAATTGTTTTTGGCAATTGGTAGAAGAGACAAAAGTTTCTTAGAGTTACCCTCAATTCCCCAAGCAGTCACTCTCATTATTGAAACAGGTGGTAGCCTAATCATGCTCTAGAGGGAAGCAAGGTGAGAGAATTTTAAATGACCTCTTCTGGGTTTTGCTGTCTTCCTCCTGCCCCACTCCCATCCTCTGAGTGTCATCATTGCTCCAACCTCCTTGAAAAAGCAACACTTTAGGAGACTACATCTCCATCCTGGAGAGAGGCTCTGAAGAAAATGGCTCTGTATTGGGGCTGTAAAGGGAATCCCTGGAAACATTCTGAGCCTTGACAGAGGTGGCACTGGTGCTGGAGCGTAGACATGAGAGTCCACTCAAAGAAGAGGGATGCTTGTTAAGGTCTGATCCAAACTCCTCAAGAGGAGCTGATGGTAAGAAACCCCATGTCCAACCCTGAATCCTCCTGTTTCAGTAGCATGACCATCCATGACATTAGTTTGATATGGAACATGGCAATGAGTAGATCTGATGTTTGAGTTACTTTGAAAGGTAATTCTGTAGTTAGAATTTCAGAGTTTATTGCAAATATTTCAGATGTTATAACCTTGTTATCTCATGTGTTTGATAAAGAATCATATGAAATTTTCTAATTTCTCACCTCATGGGCAGCCACAAGGTGGTTAAAGGGCACAGTGAGTGTTTCAAGACAGCTCTGATCCTTAGAAGTAATTGTCTGTATTGAAGAAAGGAAATCAGTTTTAAAGAGAGAAATGATTTCAGAAATACAGATATCAGATGCAAAATCATCCAATGACTTTAACAGGTACATGATTCTAACATGACTTGCAATAGCTTCTTCTGGTTTCCAAGAATGTGCTGTAATCCACTGCCAAATATATTTATTCACCCCTTAGTTCAGTTTTCTCATCCACAGATGTCAATGTCTTCCTGTATTCCTTAATCAGTTGATGCAGTGAAGGATTGAGTGTGCCTATGTATGTGTTTTGCTATGGAAGAAGAAAATGCTTAATTTCTATAGCAGCTAAAAGGGAGAGATGTATACTGGTGTATGCTAATGAATTGGTTGGTAGAAAATTTTTGGTTGGGAGCCAAATCCTGCCATTTTACAAAAAGTGGGGGAGGAACTCCAAGTTGACAGAGCTTGTGTTGTTCAGCTAACTGGTGAGAAACAGGAACTCTGACACATTTCACTGAAATCTGACATATACATCTATTATTCAATAGTTTGAGTTCATCATATTACTCCATGCATGGGTGACTGTGAAGCGTGCTTGGTTTGGCAGGAACACAAGTTATGGTGATGTCAAGAGCTTTGACCTTACCCATATGAATAAGAATAAAATATAATTTTTTAAATTTCCATTGGAAGTCCCTTAGTGCCAAATGCCACTCTTCCCCAAATCACTTTTAGAACAGCTATCATCTGACAAGTAATCTCATGGGGGTGTTGAACTAATTGGACACTGTGTACATCTCTATCTTGGTTACATGATATTCTCACATTTTTTAAGATTGCAATATGAACTTACATTAGGGGCTGTTAATGTGTTTTACATAACCCTAATTTTTAGCATATAGACTTAATAGAATAATGCAATAAAGGGCAAAGTACAGATTTTCTGTTTACACTTATTTTAAAGTGTTCTTTAAAGAGTTTTAGTATAACTTCCTAGTTCATATTTATTAACGTATTTATGCTTCTCATAGTTTAATTTTAGAAACTCAGGAATATTGTGAAAGAGAATTAGAATGCAATGATGTTTTAAGTGTGTTGTATAACCCTGGAACTCATCCACAATGGCCCTATTACAGGATGCTATGTCACTGTCTATTTAGAGCTTTTATTAATACTTTCAATATTAAGTTGTCACTATACTGGAAGAGAACTAGTTTGGAACATTCATTGTTCTGGTATTATGGTTCTCTTTATCATCTTCATGTTTTTCAGGGTTCAGAATATTGTAAAGTGTTTTTAATATATTTTCATGCTAACTCATCTTGAGCTATTTGGACACAACTGATTATTTTATTTCAGTGTCATTAATACTGTGCAAATAAAATCATTTAATATTTTCTCTCTTTAGTATTTATTATTTTAATTTTCTAAAACTATTATTTTGGGTAGATTCTGAGGTTTCAAGTATTTGCTGTAGTGGTGGTGATTGTGCATTTGAGCCCAAATGAAACAAGAGCAAAACAAACCTTTGGCGTCACCAATCTAATATAGAACTGAACTTAGATTGGATGATTCAATGTTGTCATAATGAATTATTCTGCCACTATGCTCTGATAAGTCAAGTCACCAATAGTGTGATTTGAATTTCTACTTTTTCATAGAAATACAAGACTGCTTATGGAATAACTGGATAGTCAACAAAGATGGATTTCATGAAAGCTCTATAGAAGAATATTGTAACACAAATGGGCAAGAAAATGATACAGTATACAGAAACAAGCTAAATATGAATGAAACTATTAGAAAAACCCAAACACACACAAACACACACAGGACAATATATACACAACATTCATCTTCAGAAAATTCAAAGAATATATATTTGTATACAGCTTTTCTGAGTGGGAATAATTGTTAGTTGCAGATGCAGAACCTAAATTTCTTTGATGAAATCCACTATTGGCTTTTCTTTTTCTTTTTTTTTTACGTTTTAAGCTTTTATTTAGTGAGAAAGATCTATAGGAGAGTGAGAGCTTTATTTAAGAGAGAGGTAAGCCGGCGCCGCGGCTCACTAGGCTAATCCTCCGCCTAGCGGCGCCGGCACACCGGGTTCTAGTCCCGGTCGGGGCGCCGGATTCTGTCCCGGTTGCCCCTCTTCCAGGCCAGCCCTCTGCTGTGGCCTGGGAGTGCAGTGGAGGATGGCCCAGGTGCTTGGGCCCTGCACCCCATGGGAGACCAGGAAAAGCACCTGGCTCCTGGCTCCTGCCATCGGATCAGCGCGGTGCGCCGGCTGCATCGCGCTGGCCGCGGCGGCCATTGGAGGGTGAACCAACGGCAAAGGAAGACCTTTCTCTCTGTCTCTCTCTCTCTCACTGTCCACTCTGCCTGTCAAAAAAAAAAAAAAAAAAAAAGAGAGAGGTAAATAGGGGTTCAAACTAAGCACCAGGAACCAGCCACATGGAAGAGCATCTAAGCCTGGAAGCCTAGGGTGGGTGGCCCGAAGGCCATGCACCCTGGAGGCGCGGGGCTACAGCAAGCCCGTTCCTACACAAGAGGCCAAGGAAAAAGAGCTGGGCTGGACACATTGTGTCCTAGGCTTTTAACCCACTTCTTTTTTTTTTTTAAACTTTTATTTAATGCATATAAATTTCCAAAGTACGACTTATGGATTACAATGGCTTCCCCCCCATACCGTCCCTCCCACCCACAGCCCTCCCCTTTCCCACTCCCTCTCCCCTTCCATTCACATCAAGATTCATTTTTGATTATCTTAATATACAGAAGATCAGCTTAGTATACATCAAGTATGGATTTCAACAGTTTGCTCCCACACAGAAACATAAAGTGAAAAATAATAGATGATTTTTTTTTAAATGATGATGAAATCAGAGCAGACCTATTGTCATGTTTAATCCCAGTGAGAGTCAAGTTGGGAATTGATAATTTCCTTTTTTTTTTTTTTTTTTTTACAGAGGATCAGTTTAGTATGCATTAAGTAAGGATTTCAACAGTTTGCACCCCCATAGAAACACAAAGTGAAATATATTGTTTGAGTACTCGTTATAGCATTAAATCTCAATGTACAGCACATTAAGGATAGAGATCCTACATGAGGAGTAAGTGCACAGTGACTCCTGTTGTTGACTTTACCAATTGACACTCCTGTCTATGGCATCAGTAATCTCCCTATGCTCCAGTCATGAGTTTCCAAGGCTATGGAAGCCCTCTTAGTTCTCCGACTCTTATCTTGTTTAGACAAGGTCATAGTCAAAGTGGAGGTTCTCTCCTCCCTTCAGAGAAAGGTACCTCCTTCTTTGATGACCTGTTCTTTCCACTGGGATCTCACTCGCAGAGATCTTTTGCCAGAGTGTCTTGGCTTTCCATGCCTGAAATACTCTCATGAGCTTTTCAGCCAGCTCCAAATGCCTTTAGGGCTGATTCTGAGGCCAGAGTGCTATTTAGGACATCTGCCATTCTATGAGTCTGCTGAGTATCTCACTTCCCATGTTGGATCACTCTCCCCTTTATTTATTCCATCGGTTAGCGTTAGCAGGTACTAGACTTGTCTATGTGCTCCCTTTGACTCCCAGTCCCTCCACCATGACCAACTGTGAACTGAAACTGATCACCTGGAACAGTTAGATGGCATTGGTACATGCCACCTCGATGGGATTGGCTTTTCTTTACAGGATTTACCTGCTCTGTGTGAAACTACTGTCCTTGTGATAGATGCATCCCAGGGCTCTGACAATGGGAGTCATCTTTGCCTCTCACACAGGAGTCAGGATCCTAGCAAACATCCTGCTCCTTCTTTGTTATGGTCTCCTTTCCTGCACTGGATGGATGACAAAGCACATGGATTGGATTCTCCATAACCTAATTTTAGACAATTGTTTGGTCTTTCTCTGGAATGGATTTCTCAGACAATGGCAACTTTTGGGCTGGAGTATTTTATGGATGGTTTGGGGTGCTAACTAGTTTTCTGTGTTCACAGAGTGACCAGAGGGTGCTCCCCTGAGACTACAGTCACTCACAACATCCTGATCCTAGTGAGCACCTTTTTCTCTTTTTATGTGCTATTTTCCTTCTTTCCTTCTATAAGTCCCTCTTTGATAAAGCCAGTTGGTGGCTGATGAACATCACTACCCTCATGGCTTCAAGTTTCCCATCATAGTCCCTTTCTGGTGATCAACAAAGACCCAATGTCTCTAGTCTATGCTATGCAGCAGCAGAAAAATCAGTGATTTCTATAAATGAGTCAGAGTGTGAAAATGTGCAATGCTGAATGTGTCCATGGAAAAACTCATCCTTCCCTATCTTTAAGTGTTTACTGGCAAAGTAAGATTGTGGACAGAATCAGAAGCATAATGGACAGAGCTTGATCACTGACTTACTTTTAATTTAGCAAACAGCCAAGCATGAAACAAGGGACGATTCCTCCCTCTACTTTACAGAGCAGACCTGGGTATTTTCATGTTAGTCGTTGTCCTCACATGTCCTTGCTGCCTTATGAGTCTTGCTGAATCTCACATCTCTGATTATCTCTTCCTGGAATCTTTATTGAGACATTGTGATAACAAAGTTTATTCCCAGGTTTACTTAATAGAAGAAATACATGAAATGAACTCCTGAAGATAGGTCTCCTCCCTTCACTCTGATCCTTCTGGGGTCTAAAAGAAGACTTTGGGAATACATTTCTGACACAGTTTCCTCCTCAAGTTCATTGGAAGAATCTTTTGGCATTTCAGACCCAACAAGATGCTACAGATGATGGCAAAACCATGTGTTGTAAGTGTGGTGCCCTTAGATACATTCCAAAATGATTTAACAAATCTAGCTAGTATAGCAATTGGAGAAAAATGTGAGTGGGATGAATATTGTCTTTCTGCCTCAAAGGACAATTCTGCCTCAGCCAACTGGAAAAACCCGGAGGGGAAATAAGCAAAGCATCTCAGGGTGTCACTCGTGCCATCCTTGCAGACAGGGTCTTTCTAAATGAGGCTGTGCACAGCAGATTCTACTGTGACTGAAGAGCA